TTGCCCGAAGTCTCTCCTGGCAAGGCGCTCGCGCCAGATCCTGACCCCGGCCCGACAGCCCTGGAGGGGCCTCGAGCCAGGGCCGCCCGACCACATTCGGGGGGCGGCTGGCGACCCTCGAATACAAACTGGCATATGTGACGGCCGCCATTTCACTCGCCCTGCCCGGGAGGCGCGCCGGGCCAGGAGGAGAAGAATACTGCTCGGCGGGAGAGACAGACGGCTCGGGAGAAACGGGGCGAGAAGGGGGGGCATCGGGGCGGGGGCAAGAGCCGAGAGGGCCCCCGGACAACGCCCTGGACCTAGGCACTCCTGTTCGACTCTGTCGCCCGGGCCCGCATCTTCGGAAACGTTCGGCGAGGCCTGTCTGGTTGGCGCCCCTGCCCCCCTTCAGCGCTCTCCTCGATCGAAGGTGACCTGGCGATGGCCGATCCCGCGCGAGCTGTAACTGGCCCTCCTGCCGATGAGGCAGCCCGCCTGATGCCTGGCGCCCTGCGGGGAGGGGCAGGGCCGATGGGGTCGAATCCTTGGTTCTTCGCTGGCCCGCCCGCAGGGTCTGATGACGCCAAAACCCGCAGCGCAACCAAATCGATCCTGATTCGGGCGCTTTGCGGCGTGAGCACACGCGGCGCTGAAATGAACAGAAATTCAAATTCCCAGGGTATGAAGCGCAAATCGCGCGACAATTTTGAGAAATTTGGGCCACCATGATCTTCGACGCAAATCGCGTTGCAATTTAGAGAAACTTGAGTTACACTAGGATCTGACACGCAAATCGCACCACACTTTCGAGAAACTCGAACTGCCAGGATCTGAAGGGCAAATCGCGCTACAGTGTAGAGAAAACCTGACTTCCAGGATACGCTGCGCAAGTCGCGCTACAGTTAAGAAACTTGGGCCCCCATGATCTGACATGCAATTCGAGCTGCGAGTTGCCGAAACTTGAGTTCCCAGGATCTCGCCCACAAATCGCATCGCATTTGCATCCCCAGGGTCTGATATGCACAAGAGTCGCGCTGCAATTCGTTGAAACTTGGGCTGCGAGAGTGCGGGGCGCCAATTGCGTCGCAATCGAAAGAAACTTGAACCCGCCTACCCCTCTGGCATGCCCGCCCTCCGCTCTGCTTCCGCCCTGTCCATCCCTCCGTTTTCTCCTTCTCTTCCTCCCCCTGCCGCCCCCGCGCTGGTTTGACAGCCCCGGGCCCCGAAAAACAATCGTCGTCGCCGCGGGCCGCCGCGGCGTGGATCATCGCCGGAGATAGAGAAGAGGAAGGCACCTGGGCAACAACGTCGCCCAAAAGCTCCTTGACTGGCGACGCCGCGGGGACCTCCCGCAGGAACTCGCCCGCCATCAGCCTGCCCACCTTCGCGTCCTCCAACCACGCCGCCCGCGTGCGCTCGCAGAACGCGACGTCGACCCTGAAGCTTCGATCCCACCTCGTTTTTCACCCTGCTCCACAGGGTGCCCGGCATGCGCCCCCCCCCATGGGGGCGGGGCCCATCCAAATATCCCCCCCCCGTGGCCGTGGAGCGCCTCCTTGGCGGCGGTCGCGGTCTTCTGGCCCGCCTCTGGCGCGCTGAACTTGACCTCCACGACGCTACCACGCGCGCAGGGGGTCCTGAGCTCGGTGGGATCGCCGGCGCCGAGGCCCCCCAGAAGACCCCTGGCGCGCTGCTCGAGCTCGGGGGCCTTCGTGTTCCAGCCGAGGTTAACCGACAGACCACGCTGGTTGCGCGGGGCGTTGGCCCATGCCTGGAGCCTCTGAGCTTGGCGCGCCCCTTCGGCGACAGCGACGGGCGCTGGCGCCTTCTTCGTTCCCTGGGCGCCCGCCTGCAACGCCAGTTGTTGACGATGGCAACGCCCCGCTCGATGGGCGGGCGCCCTCGGCCGGAGGCCGAGAAAATAATCGAGGGCGAAGACGGGCCCCGCCGCGCCTCGCCCTAAGAAGCCTGGCCAGAGCCAAGAAACATGGAAGCCCCAAAACAATGACTCAAACCAGAGGATCCCATAATCAATTCAAATTCAAACCAACCTAGCCAATTCACTTCCGAGCCCGGCGAGGAGAGGGAGGGGAACAAGTAGGCCGGGGCCGTCGCCAGGGCCTCTCCGGCAAGGATTCCACCCTCTGCCGCAAGCGGCGGCCGGGCGACGGGGGCGCGGGAGACGATTCTCGCGTGCGTATCTGGAGCGCGCAGGGCGCATCGACCACCGCCGCGCCACCGACCGGGGGCGGGGGCGGGGGGGGGATCGTCGACGGACTCGTCGTCGCGGGGGTGGTGGGATCAACGTCGGCGGGGGTGGCAGTCCACGCCGTCGGCCCCATTCTCCGCGCCCGCCGGAGCCGGGTCAGGAGGGGCGCTGGGGCGAGGAAGCGCGGGCCGCCGCCTAGAGGGCGGAGCGCCTTCCGAGTCGGCCTCGGCGGGCCGCCGAGCCGCGGGTCCTCCGCGGGCCGGAGCTGGGGCGGCGTCCCGGGGCGGGGCTTCCAGGCTGCGGATCTCTCGAGCTTGCGCGACATGACCTGCAGCCGTGGCTGGTCCTCAGGGCCGGCGCCGAAGGTGATCCAGCAAGTCTTGCTGGCCGGCCCACCAGGCGTCAGCGACGCCGCGCCCCCGCCCGAGGGCGGCGCGGCCAGGCGCGAAGCGGGCGTTCTGCCCAGGAGCGCCGGGCCGAGGCAGCGGCGTGCCCGCAGGACGGGCGGGGGGCCTGACCGCGGGCATGACGCGCAGGGGCGCGGGCTGCCCCAGCACGCCTGACATGCAGGAGACTGAGCTCGTCCTTCGCATGGCTCGCGCGCCGCGAGCCCCACGGGAGCTTCGACGAGGCCTCGCTGTCGGCGTCTCCTGTCCCCTCCTCGTCGCGGCGCGGTGCCTGGGGCCGCGCCCGGAGCAGCCGGGCGCGCGCGCAGCCCCCAGAGGACGCGCTGACCCCGGAGGGTGCGTCGAAGCAAGAGAACGGGGGGGGGCAGAGGAGGCCACGATCTCGGCCGCGGCGGCCGCGGCCCCCGGGTCGAGGGCGGGCGAGGCACGAACCCGGACTGGCAGCAGTCCGGGCGACTCCGGGCGGGAGGCAAGCCCGAACGAGTCCGCGCGGAGAGCCACGCACGAACGCCAGAGGGGCGTACGGGGAAAGCGAGCGGCCAGGCGGAGGGCTTGGAGAGAGGTGCCGAAGCGCAGCTCAAGGCGCTCGACCCGCCGCCGACGTTGATCCCACCCAAGTGCACCGGGTGCGAGCGGCACGCTGGAAAGTAAGCTTGACCAGGGAGAGGGGGGGCACTCCCCAAAGGGGACGGCCCACCTGTACTTCGAAGCCATGGACATGACAGCCGTCAGGGAAAGGATGCCAGAGCTGCCGGGGATGAGCAGCAGCTTACGCGTAGCATCCTCGATGGCCCCCAGCCGTCGCGAGGACCCGGGGCCGGGGGGGGCGCCAGGTGGCTCCCGGGGCAGGCCCGGGTGCCCAGGTGTTCCGTGTCCTCGTCATCTTCCCAGAGCTGCCGCTTGCCAGCATTATGTATCCTGGAGCCCGAGGCGGCCGTCGAGTGTGGCCGTCACATCTTAGGCCCGGGAGCGGGCCTCCACGTCGAAACCCTTCAGGCTCCGGTCGTCGACGTGCAACCAGGACCGGACCTCAGCAAGCGTGCGCATAATGTAAGGCCAGGGAAGCACGCCGTCAACGCCTCCTGCTCCATCTGCAGGGTGGTCACCGCCGCTTCGAGATCAGCCGTCCGCCTCTCAGTATGATGATGATGCTGATGCTGATGATGATGATGATGACGATGATGAGGACGATGACGATGATAATGGTGGTGTTCATGATGGCGACGCCGACGACGGGATGATGATGATGATGATGATGATGATGATGACGACGAGGATGACTATTATGACGATGATGATTATGACGATGATGACAACGGCGATGATGATGATGATGATAATACTGCTGATGATGCTGATGCTGATGATGATGCTGATGATGATGATGATGGTGGTGGTGATGATGACTATGGTGATGATGACAACGGCGATGATGATAATGATGATGATAATGATGACGATGACAACGGCGATGATGATGATGATGATGATGATGATGACAATGGCGATGATGATGATGATGATGATGATGATGATGATGATGATGATGATGATCATGATGATGATGATGATGATGATGATGATGATGATGATGATAATGATGATGATGGTGCTGATGATGGTGATGATGATGCTGCTGATGATGATGGTTATGATGATGATGATGATGATGATGATGATGATGATGATGATGATGATGATGATGATGATGATGATGATGATGATGACGGCGACAAGAAGGGCAGAGGCAAGGAGAGGGAGGAGGGAGGAGGGGGAGGAGGAGCAGGAGGAGGAGGAGGAGGAGGAGGAGGAGGAGAAGGAGAGGAGAGCGAGACGCGGGGCGCTGTCTCTTCAAAACGAGGACCCAACACCACAGGATGGTTAGAAATGATTTCGCCTGGGAACCAAAAGATACGGATACCGCTGCTCCCTAGACCTCTCCAGGGGTGCGCTCTGACCAGAGCTTCGAAGCGAATCCAGCCGTGGCGACGAGGGCCTCCCAGAACGCTCAAAACGGCGAAGACGAGGCAAGGGTGCCGCCGAATCAAGGAAAAGCGTCGGGACATCTGGATCCAGGACCCCGTCCTTGAACCGCGGATCGGCCGCGGCCAGCCGAAGGCCGCGCGGAGGGGAGGGCAGATATCAGTCAGCATCGAATCGCAATTCGAATCGGATCGGAGTGTGCCTCGAATCGGGCTGCACCAGAACGAAGTCGGCCTCGAATCGACTCGGCCGCGCCAGGACGCACAAAAGCGCCATGCAAACGTCGGGCTGCGTCGGACCGTCAGAATCGACCTCGAATCGGGCCTGTCGAGATCGACCTCGAGTCGGATCGATCGGATCGACTGTAGATCCTCCTGGGAGGCCGGCGAGATCCCTTGGCAGGAAGGGCGCGCGCTGGCCTGCACCTGCTGGAGCCGCTCCTCCTCGAGCTGCAGGCGCAGGGCGATGCTGGCCTCGAGGCGGGCCTGTGCCGCGGAGGGTCGAGGATCGAGGCTCGATGGATCGAGGTTCGAGGAGGTTCGAGGCTCGAGGATCCAGCCTCGAGAAGCGAGGGGGCAGCTCTGGAGGTGGGCAGGGCTGGGTGCCGCGGAACCAAACCTCCGACGATCCGAAAACAATCCCGGCGCTTCTCCTGGATTTCGGCATCTGGAGCCCATGATCGGGCCCCGCTTCCGTTGAGTATCTGAATTAGGGGGCCACATGCGAACCCTACCCCTACCCCCACGATTTCTGAGGAACGAAATCAACCCCACCCTCCCCCTCAGAAATCGTGGGGGGTGCGGGTAGGGTTCGCATGTGGCCCCCTATGAATCTTCTCGCCTCTGGGTGCTTTCCAGCGGCTGCGCCTGGTCGAGAGCTGCCTGGGGGTGCCCGGATCGTCCCGAACGGCCGCTGGAGGTCAGATTCAGGGCCCGAAAACCACTCGCCATCGCTCGGACGTCCATTCCCTGCTTGTTTTCGGTTTCGTGCGTGGTTTTTTCGCCAAATGGTTAAGGATGCTCCTCGATGGTCCTCGCCGAGGAAAAAGCGCACACGTCCGAGCGATGCCAGGACACCAGGCGCCGATCTGCGTGCTTCAATCCAGGCGTGTTTCTCCGACTTCGGCGTCCAGGGCCCACTGTCGGGCCCCGGGACCATCAGAAATGTGCCCAGGACGAGACCTAGGGCTCCCAACTTCGCGCTTCGCGCTTCGCGCTTCGGGCTGCGCGAATAACTTCGCGCTCTCGCGCCGCCCCACCAAAAGGAGAAAAGGAGGACGAGGAGGAGGGGGAGAAGGAACGAGGACCGCGAAGCACGAAGCGCGAACAACTCCGCGGTCTCGTGGGAGCCCTTGGAGACACGAGCCGAAAGGGAATGGGTCGGAACCTCGTGGGGCGCGCACTGGAAAAAGACACGGCGTCGGATGTCTGGGGAGCGACGGTCCCCGGGCAAGAAGGAGTGTCCGCACCCGTGGCGGCAGGGCGATGCAGCATGATGGCAGCCACAACTGCGAGGTGCCCTTGCCTCGCGCCCCTCCCCCCAAAACCCAAAGCTGAGGTGTCCACATTATGTTCCTGGCCTTTGGCCTGCCGCCCAGGCCCGTCACCTTGGCATCTGGGGGAAGGGGGTAGACACTTTGGCCCGACGTGCTTTTTGATGACTCAAGGTCTTGGCGAGACGCGTGTGTGGACACTCTTAGCCCACTCACCGGAGTGGGGCGGCTCGGGGGGGGGAGGGGGGGGGAAGTCGGTCGGCACAGCGCTCGACACCAAGCGAGAAAGGGCGAGTGGACGCGCCGGCCCTCCCACCGCGCCCGCCAGATGGGTCCTTCGCCCGGCCACCCCGACGCCATGGCTGGCAAGAGCAGTCGGCCCGTATCACAAGGATGCGCGATAAGGATGCAGGGGCATTGGACGCCCACTTCGAAGTTTCTCGAACGGGGCGCGGCCAGCGAAAGTGGCCGAGCATAGGCCGAAGGGGCAAGGATGCAGGGGTATTCTTGGGAAGGTTTTCCATCCTTACTATGCGGGTCGACTGTGCCTTCGAGGGCGATGCGCCCATCCTTGTCCAGCTTGATTATCATTGTCCCTGCCGTCGGCCCTCTCTCAGAGGTGCACATCACCGCCATGTCCTCAGCTGCGATTTGTCACCGCGTCAGAACGGAAGCGGGGCATGACATCGAGGAGGATGCGCCAAATCTGATCAGATGTTTACCTTTGATTGTCTTTGTCTCTGCCGTCGACCTTCTCCCAAGGGCGTGCCTTGCCGCCATTCCCAATCGCTCCTCCACCCCCAGTGCCGCCGCGTTCAGAAAACCGCGGGGGAAGACTTCCAGGACAATGCACCCGTCCTGATCGGGTTTCTAGGTTGCTCCAGGTTGTTCAATCAGAGTAGGGGGTGGATCGCGTGGAGGTGTATGAGTGATCTGTCCTTCACGGACCGTTGGGGCGTTGGATCGCCCGAGAGGGCGGGTTCGGTGGGCGTGAGAGGGCCGGAACGGGCCGTCGGGCGGGGTGGCATGGGGGGTCCTTATAAAGCAACCGGGAGTTTCGTCCGAGATCGTTCTGAGAACGACCACGACCACGACCCCCAGATGCCACGACCACGACCCCCAGATGCCACGACCACGAGAACGACCAGGGGCCAGGGCGAGACCACGACCCCCAGATGCCACACGGTGCGAGAACCACCCGGGCTTGACACACCAGGACGTCGGAGACAACCCTGGGGCGCGGAGAGCGCCCCAAGGGTGCCGCCGGGGAGGCGGCGCCAGAGGTGCCGAGACCGCCCCGGACCACTCGGGGGGCCTGTTGAGGCCAGTTGGGACTGTGGACTGTTGGGGAATCCGTCGAGGCCAGCCGGGACCACGTGGGGGGGTCTGCCTGTGCGCAACCCGACACCTGACCGCTGGTCTTGCCGTCGCTCGGACGTCCATTTCCCGTGCATTTTTTCGGTTTCGTGCGCGTTTTTTTTGCTCGATGGTCCAGGATGGTCCTCGATGGTTTTCGCCGAGAAAAAATGCACACGTCCGAGCGATGCCAAGTGGTAGATCCTCCTCGTCGGAGGTCTGGGTCGGCGCCTCCTCGCACATGAGGTCGAGGTTGGATACCATGCCGGAGACCAGGTCGCCAGCCATCTCAGCCCCCAGCTGGCTGGTCATCGTTCCGCCTGCGCCCTCCGCTTCTCCTCCTCCTCCTCCTCCTCCTCCTCCTCCTCGTCCTCGTCCTCGTCGTCCTCCTCCGCCTCTCGTGTTCTGCAGGACGAAGGGGGGGCGACAGCAAATGGTGGGTGGAAACGAGTCAGCCGAATCATTCATAAATTACGCCACATTCGCGCCCCCGAGGCCACGACCCCCCATAGATTACACCGCGTTCTCGCCCACGAGGCCACGATCCTTGGTAAATTACGCCACTTTCGCGTCATCGTCGTCGTCGTTTCGGACGCCAGTCCCTAAAAGAGGCCACAAGGGGCCCAAAAGAGATCCCAAGAGGGCCCAGGACAACCCCAAGAGGGCCCCCAAAAAAGCCCCAAGAGACCCCCAAGAACCACCCAATAGGACCCCAAGAGGCACCCAAGAGGCCCCACGAGGGCCCCGCGCCGCCGACGAAATTGCGCGCCGTAGGTGAGAACTTACGGCAAACAAATCCTCGATACTGTTTGCGATTTTTGCGACACGTTTTGCGATGTTTAACGTTTATCTAGGTGGCGACGATGGTGATGGTGACAGTGGTGTTGATGGTGAGAAAGGTGCTGTTGGTGATAAAGAAGCTTCGTGGTGATGGTGATGATGACGATCCTTGGAGGCTATGGCGCATGGGACGACGATGATCCTCTATGGAGGAGGAGGAGGAAGGGAAGGGAAGATTGAGGAGCCCGGTGACTACGAGGAGGAAAAGGATGATGGTGATGAGGGTGATGTAGGTGGTGGTGTTGATGATGGGTGATGGTGATGATGACAACGACGCTGGCGACGACGAGGAAAATGATGAAAATGGTAGTGATGATAATGGTGGTGACGTTTATCTAGGTGGCGACGATGGTGATGGCGACGGTGGTGCTGGTAGCAATGATCATAATGATGGTGATAAAGGTGATGTTGGTGATGACGGTGAGGAAGCTTCGTGATGGTGATGATAACGATCCTTGGGAACTTTGGCGCATGGGAATGATGATGCGATGGAGCAGAATCGGGCGACGGAGGAAACTGCGGAGGACGAGGAAGGAGGTGGAGGAGCCTTTTTGCCTGACGCGTGCATCTGTTGGCACCGCGGGAATCGAGCAAAAGCGATGGGGGCGGATGAAGGTAACCCGCAAGCTCGTAAACTTCGACACGAAATGTGCAGCCCGAGCCGAAGGCGGAGGAGAACGAGGAGGGAGAAGGAGGAGTCTCTTGGCCTGACGCGTGCACCCGTTGGCACAACTGGAATCGAGCAAGGCCCAAGGTTACGGGGAAACCCGTACATCCGGAAACCCGTAAATCCGTAAACTCCGTTCCGAAATGTCACATGTCGGAACGGAGTTCACGCGAAAACGCGAAAAACCGAAAAAATCGTACACTTTACGACTTTTCGGCTTTTCGAATTCAAGTGCGCGCTTCCGCTCCCGCTTGCCGGAACTTCTCCTCGCCAGCCTAGCCACGAAGCGTGTGAAGAATGCGCCCGGCATGGGCGAGGCGGTCGCATGCGGACTGCACCGCCGGGGCCCTCGGTGGATCTCCGTGCGGGCCCGCGAAACGCGCGAGAAAGCGCAGAAATACGCGGGGCGGCGGACGCATGCGGATTGCGCCGCTGGGGCCTTCGGCGGAGCCCCCGATGGGGCCACGGAGCGCCGCGTGAGGGGCGCGCCGAAATGCGCGGGACGGACGCGCGCGGACCACGCCGCTGGGGCGTTCGGCGGAACTCCCTATGGGGCCTCGAAGCGCAGGAGGGGTGCGCTGACATGGACGCCGCTGGGACCCTCAGCGCTCCACGCGTTATAGCCAAGTCGAGCTCGGGGAAAACCTCGCCACGCATGGCATCGCTTGGAGCCTGGAAGCGATTGATATCGCGCGCTGCGGCCTCGGGGCCCCTCGCGACTACCAGTGCGTCTCTCTCCTGGTCTTTCCAGCGCTTAGCCTTTGCGCCAATTTTTCCAGCAAGCGCCTTGTCATTTTTTCCAGCGAACCCGCGCGATCCAACTCGGGGCCAACGCATGAGCAAACATTGCGGCACCCGTCGGAAAAACAAAGAGCGCGCACGGCTGATTCCGTCGATGGCCGAAGGCCATCGTCAGAAAAAAATGCTCGGGTACTTTGTGCGACAAAAGGCGACCAAGTGGGACGCACGGCGAGGCACTGAGTAGGAAATAGTAATAGGTCGAAACAACTGTTCGGTTGGCATAGGTGTTTCGCAATAATGACGGGGCCAACGTTGGAAATAGGCAAAAGCTGAAAAGAGTAGAAGGGCCGGCCCCAGACACTCTTTCTAGCTTCCCTGTGCACTCAGGAGCTAGGCGAGAAAAATGTTCAAAATGAACCAGAGAAAATCCTGGTAGCAAGACCCGTGACAATCATCAACATTTACCTCAACAACATCATCATCAGCAACAACATCATCATCAACATCACCATCGCTTGGGATGTTGCGTGCGACCTGGTTAAGGGTGATTTCACATGGCCCAACATTGCCGACAAGTGGGACCTGTTCCTGAGAGCAGGTCGTGCCCTTGGGCTGTTCGGAGGCCCGCGTGGTGACACCTGGTCTGAAATACGAGCTACGACATGTTGACAAACATCGATCGTTTTCGCCTCGTCTTCGCACCCTCAAAGTCGTCGCCAGCACCAGCAAGTATGAGTTGGGTCCCATCTCTTGCTCGGCCAACAACGTATCATGCTTATTGCCTCGAGGTAGGTGCCTGCGCGCTGATGGATCACCCAGAGAATGCTCATTGGCAAGAACGTGCTCCAAGCTCGTGGCAGTCGGCCACGGCATCGGCGCTGTGGGCTGCTCCCCCCCTCTCGCACCATCTCGTTCGACCAGGGCGTTTTTGGGCAAACCAGCAAGGCCCAGGCCACCTTTCTCTCTATCAGGCTTCCAGGTTTAGAGGAGGAGATTCTCGAGGAGGGACGAGGAGGACGTTGCGATCACCCTGGCGTTCCCCTGCTCGGCATTGATCCCCAGGCAGGAACGTTGCAAACGACGGCTCCCAAGAGAAGGTACCTTCAGGATCTGTGCAGTGTGTTGGCCAGGGCTGCCTCGCGCTTCGTGCCTGAGGCTTGGCGGTTATGTGTCCCAACTGATCTGGACGATTCGAAGCTACCTAACGAATTCAGCTATGTGTTGCAGGCCCCCGACCCCTATAATGATGCCGTATCAAAGGAGATTGCCCTATATTTTACTGGCTTCCAAACCCGAGGTGAACCCGGGGACCCCAGGTTTAACCGACCCTCCCAACCTGTGGCCCCCCCCTATCGGGACCTCCTGAGGCTGACGTGGCCTCTAGTACGCAAATTGGCTGGGTCGACCCCTACTCGCATGAAAGGATCCTGCAGGCCTCGAAAGCTACTGGGGGTCCCTGAGACTTGCCGCCCCCTCCTCCTCTTCCTCCTCCTCCTCTTCCTCCTCCTCCTCCTCCTGCCCCTCCCACCCGTAGCCATTTTGGCTCAAGATGCCCGTTTGGCCCTGCCAAGAAGTGGATAACGCTAGTCAGCGGCGGGAAAGTCTGTTCAACCTGGCATAGTTTGGCCCTTACTGCGGGATTTTGGCCCCCGCCTCAGTGCTTTCTGGCCTTCACTTCGGGAGTTGGGCCCCCGAGAGCAGGCATGCCTGTCGCGGCGTGCCCGCGCCCCCTGGCACCAAGGGCGTGGAGGGCGCAAGCGTGGCTACGGTGGCGATGGATGGCGATCCAACCGCAATGATTCCTACTCCGCGTGCAGCTCGCGCGGACACTGGGATTTCGACAAGTACGGCAACTGGCGTTGCAGCAAGTGCGGGTCTATCCACGTGGATGACAATGCTGAGCCTGCTGTGTTTTGTGGTGCTTTCGCGAGCGAGCTGGAGCAGCTGGCCAAGAAGTTCCCGCACTTGGCAGGCGTGCTGGAGGGTCTGGGTGCTGCTGCGGCGGCGGCGCCCGTGGCTCAGCCTGAGCCTCCTCCCGAGCCTGCCACAGATAATGAGATGGAGAAGAGGGTGGCGGCACAGCGCACGGCGCTTGCCAAGGAGGTTGAGGTTCAGTCCCGAGCAGAGCGCATCGCGCAGGGCGACGGGGAGGCGCGGCCGGCCACAGTCGTGCGCCATCGTGAAGCGCTGCAAGGAGCTGAACGACAGCACCACGAGGCCGTGCAGGTGCTCGAGGAGAAGCAGAAGCTGCTGCGGGCGGCTCGATGGCGAAGGATGGCTCTGTGGAGGCCGACTGTCCGCGTCGCCTACGTGCTCGTGCTGAGGCTGCCCGCGCGCTGCGCGATGCGCAGGCGGCTGCTGCTGCAGCGGTGGGCCGCGGGGTGGCTCCCGAGGCGGCCGCTGCAGGCGCTCCACCAGGCGTTCCCCATGGCGGAGGTCGGGCTGCCGCTGCGGTGCCTGCGGACGGCGGCGGGGGCGCTCCCCGTGTGGCTGCCCCCGTCGCCTTCGGTGCCCCGGGCTAGGGGAACAAAGAGTGGCATAAACATGAAAGCTCGGAGGTCCACGCGGATTTCTCGGATCGGGGCGCTGGACCCCCCTCCCTGGCGCGCGGAGCGCGCCAGGGGCGGCGCCGGAGGCGCCGCCAGGGGGCTCCAGCGCGGATCCGAGAAATCCGCGCGGACCACCGAGTTTTTATGTTTATGTCACTTTTTGTTCCCTGCCCGTTCCTGCTGCCGGTGATGCTCCTGCTGGTGCTCTTCAGCCTCACGATTTGGCTTCGCTGGACGGGGAAGGGCTTGAGCGCTGGTGTGTTGAGCACAACCAGAGGTCGGAGTACTGGCAGATGCTACGGCGCATGTGCATCAACGTCAAGGATGACGACGCGGACTCGGAGATGGCTGCTTCTGAGTAGTGTGACGATCATCGTGATGAGATTGAGGGCATCAGGAAGCGCGCTCGAGAGGGAGCTCTTGAGGCTGCACAACAGGAGCGAGCGGAGCGACTGTTGGTCAAGCGAGCTCAATGCAAGGCGGCGAGGCGGCTACGTACCATTCGAGAGGATACGGCATCCAG